TTCTTTCTTTCTTTCTTTCTTTCTTTCTTTCTTTCTTTCTTTCTTTCAATTTATATGTCTCCTGTCTTGCCTAGAGGTAGCTCTAGGTGGCTTACAATCCATAAAATGCTACTATGTAACATTAAAACAAATGCACCCTGTTTCTCCTGAAAATAAGACCTATCCCAAAAATAAACCCTAGCACGTTTTTTTAATGTCTGTAACTAATATAAACCCTCCCTGCAAAATAAGCCCCATTTAAGAGCCTATGCAGCCTCCCGGCTGCCCATTTCACCTGCTTGCTCATGGTGCTGTGGCCACGAGGTAAGGTGGTGGTGGAACTGCCCCACGCGCCATGTACCAGTTCAACTCAGGGCACGAGGGCTTATTTTCAGGGGGTGTCTTATTTCCCCCTCCCCATGTACAGGAGGTCCACTTCTTCTGGTTACTCATGGTGGGGCAGGAGGCCACATGGCATGCTAGTGCTGCCACCACAAGGTGGGGGTGTGGGTGGAGATGCTCCCCGTGCCTCACACCGGCTTACCTCAGGGCCCCTGCATCCAGGCCATCCATGCTCCGACGCCCCGTCCAGGAGCCCACAGGGTTGTTGGCCCACTTCTTCTGCTTGCTAATGGCTGCAACGGAGCAGGAGGCCAAGCAGCTGGTTGGTGCTGCACTGTGAGGTGAGGCCGGTGTCAGGTCATCGATGACCTGGCTGCAGGGGCCCTGAGATAAGCCGGGGCAGGGCGCGTTGAGCAGCTCCAACCTCCTGCCTTGTGGTGGCACCCAAGCATGCCATGCGGCCTCCTGCCCCACCATGAGTAAGTGAGCCTCCCGTACATGGGTAGAAAATAAGACACCCCCCAAAATAAGCCCCAGTGCTTATTTTGGGGCCCAACAGAAAATAAGACCTGGTCTTACTTTCGTGGAAACACGTGTAGTAAAGCTACATTTGGTTTAAAATCGACAAAGCTGTGAAGGAAGGGTGCAAGATAGATACAGAGGGAGCGGGGAGGGGAGGTCTTATTTTAGTCCATTAACCACCTTCAGTGTGACGTGCCTTATCTGTTGGCAGAGCCTGGTATTCGGGCTCTTTTTCTCTCGCTAAATTTATATTTATTTTATTTATATAGCATATCAAAGTTCAATTTCAACTGAACAGTCTGTTGTCTGGGTACAATTATTTTAGGCTCTTTTTGAAGCTCATTTTTATACGTATCCAATAATATTTGCATTTAGAGGGCTCCCGATCCCTTTCCTTTGTGTAATAGAATGAAAACGTCTAGGGTAGTTTTCCATAGCTTGATGCCTGAAAAATGTGATGGGAATTTTCTAGCCCATGGAGGTGAACGGTTGATCCAGTCTAAAGTATTCTGCTCGAGGTTACAAGGATGATCTGATACAGGTAGTCCTCGACTTACACCCATTTGTTTAGTGACTGTATGCAGTTACAACGGCACCGAAAAAAAAAGTGACTTATGACCTTTTTCCCCCCACGCATGTAACCATTGCAGCCTCTCCATGGTCACATGATCCAAATTCAGATGCTTGACAATGGGTTCATATTTGCAACCGTTGCAGAGTCCCGGTGAGTGTGTGTGTGTGTGTGTGTGTGTGTGTGAGAGAGAGAGAGAGAGAGAGAGAGAGAGAGAGAGAGAGAGAGACATGATCTCCTTTTGCAACCTTCTGACAAGCAAAATCAATGAGGAGAAGCCGGATTCGCACCCTGAGTGCAGGATTCCCTTAACAAGTCCGGCGATTGGATGAGGAATCGTGAGCAAAAAAGTTTTCAAAGTTGGGTTTGGACTTAGTTTACAACCCACCTTGCTTATCGACGGACATTCTGCTCCCAAATTATGGTTGTAAGTTGAGGACTGGCTGTTCAATGAGGTCATCTACACAAGGAGGACCTTCCTCCGACGCAGCAGCTAAATGACGAGTTGGGGATTGTTAAGTTGATTTCCTATTTTCTATTATCTACAACAGACCAAAGGGGACCCTGAGTCTGCTTATGATGAAGAGAACCTAGCTCAGTGCATTGTTGATTTTTTTATCGCAGGCACAGAGACCACGGCCACCACCTTACAATGGGCACTGATACTCATGGTGGCTTACCCGGAGATCCAAGGTGAGACTCCTGTATTACATCGGCACACAAATGCTTCTCTTGATCCTGCTTTTATTTTAGCGACAGATCCCAAGAATTCCTGCGTGAACGGAGGAGGAATAATGGCTCGTCTCTAACAAGCAAGAGGAAATTCAAAATCTGCAAAAAAAGAAGAAAAAAAAGCTATTTTGGCCTAGAGGCGGAGCTCTCGCCTCACAATCAGGAGGGTGTGAGTTCGATTCTAGGTAGAGGCTAATATTTGGAATAGACTCTCCTGCTTGAGCAGGGGGTTGGACTAGATGACCTCCAAGGTCCCTTCCAACTCTGTTATTCTACGTCTGTGACTTTCATGCCCCTGTTGGAATCTGATTCCGAGGGAGAGCTCGGGACAGCTGACAGGGAGTGGGAGGGTGGGCTCCCGATGGCTGTGGAGGAAACTGGGGAAGGGCACAATCCGGCTGGGCATTCAGAGGAAGAACCAGGTCTACCCCCTCTTCATCCTAAGGCATGCAGGGAGGAACAGATAAGGAAGCAACGTGGGTTACAGGGGAGAAAAGGGCCCTGATTCCCTTCATTAGCTGCAGCTGGGAAAACTGGATATGAAGGGCGTTTGGGCATAGCACTTTGCTGGAAACAAAGCGTGCATTATCTTTGTTTGTCAAGTCTTATCTGGGTTCTGGCGTCCTCCCAACTGTGTGTGTTTCATTATCTTTTGAGGTCTTCAATTCCTTATCCTGCCCTGTCTCATTAATTGCTGCAGTGTGGTTTGTGTTGGTTTTTATTTATAATTTATATGTACTGTGAGGTCGGATGGAATTTCTTCTCTTTAAAAAGAAAGAGGGAGAGTTTTGTCTCCAGCCAATGATCACTGGACATTGGGGGCCAAGTTGGAGGAATTAAAGGGACTTTACCTACTTTTGTGACTTTGATGCTTTTGTGCCATGCCCAGGGTCATCACAATGACATACGTTTTATGTTAATATTAGTATTTCCTCCTGTTTTTTCCCCACCTCCTACATCAGATTTTTTGTCTTGTACTCGTAACAATTGGGCCACCCAAATTGAGCTGTTAAAATCCAAATCCTTACAGCAGAGCTCCCCAAACTTGGCAACTTTAAGACTTGTGGACTTCAACTCCCAGAATTCTCCAGCCAGCTCTGGGAGTTGAAGTCCACAAATCTTAAAGTTGCCAAGCTTGAGGACCTCCACCTTACAGAATGGTCACCGCTGTACTCTTTGCTGCCATCTATTGGTTGTCTGGATTTTGCTGACCAAGTACGGCAGCCCTTCCTAAGAAGTAAACACACAGAGCATGGGCCTTAGAACTGCAAGTCCCTGTGAGCTCAGGCGTCATGCAATCATTTGACCACGCTTTGTGATTTTTGGGGGTTTGTTGCTGGTTTCCAATGCTTTTTGCAAACCCCCCCCACACCTTTGGGAGAAATGGGATTTGGGAATTGAAGTCCCAAAGATGCTTTTTCAAAAGGCATTTAGACTTTTGGGGTTTTTTTTTTCTCGAAGATGTTTCACTTCTCATCCCAGAAGCTTCTTCAGTTGTGACTCAGACAGAACAAAAGATGCCACTTGGATGAGAAACGAAACATCTTCAAGGAAAAACGAAGAAAGTCCAGTTGCCTTTTGAAAATGCACCTTTGCGTCAATTACGATCTGCAGGATGATGAGAATCTCCATAAATATTCCCCAGAAGGAGATCTACCACCTTACGGTTTGTCATTACAACTCAGTTCTTATTCAGGTTCTTTGTGAATTATGTCCCATGTTCTTCACTGACTATGTCAATTGTAGTGGAATATCTGAGGTAATTTAAGAAGACAGTGGGCAATCATATGTCTGAAATGACATAGAGCCCCCTGCTTGAGTAAGGGGAGTTGGACTAGAAGACCTCCAAGGCCCAAGGTTCCTCTGATATTCTGTTATAATTTTCTTTTTCTGTTATTGGTCTTCAGAGAAAGTCCGCAAGGAAATAGAAGATACGTTGGATCCTACCTATCCAATCCGCTATCAAGATCGGGTGAAACTCCCGTATACCCATGCTGTGATTCATGAGGTTCTCCGTTTGAAATATGTCTTAATTGTTGGAGTCCCCAGGCAAAGTGTCAGAGACGTGAACCTCTATGGATATCACATTCCAAAGGTACAGAAGTTGATACAAGAACAATGAACATACCAGAGGACCAGGGGTGGGATTCAATTTTTTAACAACCGGTTCTGTGGGTGTGGCTTAGTAGGTGGGCGTGGCTTGGTGGTCATGTGACTGGGTGGACATGGCTTGGTGGTCATGTTATTGGCTGGGTGTGGCCAACTCAATATCACTCACATCGAGGCACACATCTCCTCACCTGGTCTCTCATGACTGTGGGGATGCTGCAAGAGTCGTAAGTGTGAAAAATGGTCATAAGTCACTTTTTTCAGTGCCATTGTAACTTTGAATGGTCATGCCACACAAGCAAAGTGAGGGGACTGGAGGCTAAAACATATGAAGAACACTTACAGGAACTGGGCCTGGCTAGTCTAGAAAAGAGAAGGACCAGGGGAGACATGATAGCAGTCTTCCAATATTTGAGGGGCTGCCACAGAAAGGAAGGGGTCAAGCTATTTTCTAAAGCTCCTGTAGGCCAGACAAGGTATAATGGATGGAAACTGAACAAGGAGAGATTTAACCTGGAAATAAGAAGGAATTTTCTGAGAGTGAGAACAATCAACCAATGGAACAGCTTACCCTTGGAAATTGTAGGAGCACCATCACTTGAGACCTTCAAGAAGAGATTGGACTGCCATTTGTCAAAAATGGTGTAGGGTCTTCCGCTTGGGTGCGGGGGTTGGACTAGATGACCTATAAGTTCCCTTCCAACTCTGATTATCTGTTTAACTTGGTTATTGGATAAATCCATTTCCTGTGTTTGTACAATTCCTTTCATCACAAGTGACAAAATAGGTTAGGTTTCCACACCACTCTAAGAATCCTCAAATTTAACCAAGGTTAAGACAGGCTAGGTATTGCATGTTGTTGTGTGAATGCATCCACTAAGACTGTAGCTGATCTGTTTGAACATCTTGTATGAACAAAGCTCATGAGATGTTGCGGTCCATAATGATGCTCTTGATAGGAGAATTCCAGTTCCCTGCAGGTTGCTACCCCTGGGTTCTCTTTTGCACAAACACATTCATTTTTTCCCTGTAAAAATGGTGGATAATGGATTTTCAGCTGACTTTCACCAAACACACACACCTTCAAACATGAATGGGAATTCACGAACTGGTTGAGTTTTTAATGTAGACAAGTTGGCAATAGGAGATAATTATCTTTTTACGCAATTAGGGGAATTTACTAGGAAATACAGTTCGATCTAGTGGTGAAGGCGCTCAGAAATTTGGAAACTGAGTTCTACTGCCACCTTGGGCATCAAAGCTGCCTAGGTAACCTTGGACCAATCACCAGGAGACAGTGAATTCTAGTCCCACCTTAGGCATGAAAGTTGGATGATGACTGAGCCAATCACCAGGAGACAGTGAATTCTAGTCCCACCTTAGGCATGAAAGTTGGGTGATGACTTTGAGCCAATCACCAGGAGACAGTGAATTCTAGCCCCACCTTAGGCATGAAAGTTGGATAATGATTTTGGGCCAATCACCAGGAGACAGTGAATTCCAGTCCCACTTTAGGCATGAAAGTTGGATAATGATTTTGGGCCAATCACCAGGAGACAGTGAATTCTAGTCCCACCTTAGGCATGAAAGTTGGGTGATGACTTTGAGCCAATCACCAGGAGAGCGGGAGTTCTGGTCTCACCTTAGGCATCAAAGTCAGCTAGGTAACTTTGGGACAGTCACTCTTTCTCAGCTCAACCCACCACACAGGAAAAATAGGAGGAAGAAGGAATATTATATATGATCACAGCCTTGAATTGTTTATGTATATATAAAAAATAGAGGTGGGATGAAAATAAAAAAAAATACAAGGCTCTAGAAACTTCAGCAGCTGTATATTGAAATGCATTTCTTCCTCCTTCAGGGGACTTTGGTTGTTACAGATCTGAACTCAGTTCTTTATGATCCCAAGAGATGGGAGACTCCTGAAAAATTCAACCCACACCATTTTTTGGACAAGGATGGACGTTTTATATCAAGGGAAGAATTTTTGCCATTTGGAGCAGGTAAATCTGAAACACGCCTTTCCCTAAATATTTAAAATAAATCCCTCTGGGAATGTATGAGTGAATGGCCATTTTCTTGTGATTCATCCACCAAGTGTTGTGCTTAGGTAGCAGTAATAAGGAGAGGCTGCATAAGCCCTTAAACCATGGGTGGTGATACGCTACGTTCATCCAAGGTTCTGTGTCAGGATTCTGGCAGTTACCCCCATTTGAATCATGAGTCTCGAGCCAAACTTCAAAATTTCAAAAGGATTTATTGGGAGTTAACATGTCTGGCACTGCCTGGGGGTAGCCGACTCTGGGACACATCATTCATTGTCACCCTTGACCCTGGTTTTCCCCCACCCCCTGAGAGTATCATAATTTATATTCTCCAATGGGACACATCCATAGCCTAGAGTCATCAATCATGCTCTCCAGTTAGAATTTTGCACAGCAGAAACTTCAGTCACCTAGTTACTATCTTTGAAAAAACATTTATGGAATGCACTTTCGGTTTGCAAGCTGCTGCACTGCTCCCCTTCCCTTTCTGTTGGCAACTCTAAGAAGACCAGAGAAATATTTTATGAGTTGATATTCTGTTGATATGCTTTCCTCCTGGTCTTCAGGCCAATCTCTGTTTGATTTTTCCAGTTTTGTCCATAATTTTAAACATTATATAGGTAGCCCTAGACTTATGATCACAACTGAGCTCCGAGTTTCCATTTCAAAGCAAGACAGTTGTTAGGCGAGTCTTGCCCCATTTTATGACCTCTCTTGCCACAATTGTTAAGAGAATCAACGACAGTTGTTAAGTTAGTAACAAGATTGTTAAGTGAATCTGACTTCCCCATTGATTTTGCTCGTGAGAAAGTCGCAAAAGGTGATCACTACCTTGGCACACTGCAACCATAATAAGTACATGCCAGTTGCCAAGTATCTGAAATTTGATCACATGACCATAGGGATGCTCCAACAGTTGTAAGTGTGAAAAATGTCAATAAGTCACCTTTTCAGCGTTGTAGCTTTGAACAGTCACTAAAACAAATGGTAATAAGTCAAGGACTGCCTTGTAAACAGGTTTGTGCACTTATGAAAAGAGAGGTGTGGGTTATAAATGAAATATGTAGATAAATAGAACTAAGGAAATGATTCTATAATTGGAAACATGATGTTGAAAACTCTATTGGTGAGCATTCTGAGGTTGCGCATCACTTGATTCTTCTTGTCTTCTGGGCTTTTCCGATTATGATAGATATTTGTCCCAAAAGGATTTGATTAATAAGCAAAGATAAACCACAGGGGTAATATACTTTACTTGTCTAGTTTAAACACCTGGTTTAATGGGGAAAAAAAGCACTATGGGTGACGTGATAGCAGAGTTCCAATACTTGAGGGGTTGACATAAAGAAGAGGGAGTCAAGCTATTTTCCAAAGCCCCTGAAGGCAGAACAAGAAGCAATAGATGGAAGCCAATCAAGGAGAGAAGCAACTTAGAACTAAGGAGAAATTTCCTGATAGTGAGAATAATTAAACAGTTGCCTCCAGAAGTGGGTGTTCCGTCACTGGAAGTTTTTAAGAAGAAATTGGACAACCGTTGATCTAAACAGTGTCGGGTCTTCTGCCCAAGCAGGTGGTTGACTTCAAGGTCACTTCCAACTCTGTTATTCTATTATGTTTGTCAGTCTCTGGTGTGTGAAAAGATCTTCCTTTTTGAAACTTCAAGGTATGGGCATAGCTATCGGTGTCCAAGAGATTAAAGGCAAATGAAAGGCAGATTCCAACAGTAGAATTTTAGAGCACGCCATTTTAAGCGATGAGTTCCAGTGTACACATCAAATTCCTCAGTTACGACTGAAACTAGAAGCGTTGGCGAAGCGCTGTCGGTCACTTCTAACCCCTTCTCCTCTCCTTATCTTTGCCCTGCAGGGCCTCGTGTGTGCCTGGGTGAGCAAATGGCCAGGATGGAGCTCTTCCTTTTCTTGACCATCCTACTGAGGTCCTTTAAGTTTCAGCTGCCAGAAGGAGTCAAAGAACTCAGTCTAGAACCCATTGTGGGGTTATCGTTGCACCCTCGTCCTTACAAACTTTGTGCTGTTCCTCACTGTAGGACCCCGTAAAAATCGAGATGATTGCTGTATAAAATTTGCTTGTTGGTCTTGACCTTTAGACTGAAATTCTACTCTGAGCACGTTGCTCGGATTTGCTCGTCCTAGAAGTTTCTTAGAACATGAAGAAATATTACTATTCCTTATCATTTGTTTTATTTTCATGCTGTTTTCTTTTTTGTCCTGAAAGAGATGAGAGTGGTATTGTTCTGACCCAGGCTTTGCCAAACTGGATGAAACACAAACTGATTTTAAAAGCAAAACCTATTTTAATGCAACGCTGGGAATTACTCGCATTCCCAGCCGGAACTACTTATAAAGAGCTCCCCCCGATAAAAGCACGCCTTTCAGTGCTGTAGAATGCTGCCAAAAAACAGAAGTCCAATTAATTATAACACAAACCAACCAAAGTCCCAGAAAAAAAAACAACAACCAGAGTTCACAGAGCTTCAAGAAGGACTCGGAAATTACTGCACTACTTTGCTTCCTGCAAAGTGTTTGTCATTGAGGTCTGACTTTTATCCCTTATGGGAGGGGCAATCACCTCCCAGACTTACCCTTCTGCTTCAGCTACTCTTGCCTTCTAGCAGCTCTGTGCACACATGCACTGGGAACAGGCTCGCCCGGCTCCTCTGCCTCGCTGCTGCCCGACTCCAAAGGCTCCAGAGGCAGCACCCAGGTGGTCCTGGTCCCATCTCTGCATTGGATGCAGGACACTCATCCAAGTCCTCTCCAGACTCCCTGCCTGGTCCCCTTTCTTCTTCACTGTCCGACTCCACTGCCGGCTGCACCGGCTGCCGGCAAATCACAACAGGTATACAAAACATGGTCGTATAATCTGCTGTAAAACCATTACAGTTAAACTGTCAATATATTAGTGCAAATTGTACAGAACAAAAACAAGGAATAGAACAGTGGAAATTCTGTGATTTAGGAAAAGGCACGTTGGTCCTACTGGTGCCATTGTTGCTCTGCTAGTACGCAGGTGGAAGCAAGTTTTTAATAATGTTTAAAATAAAATACAGGTAGTCCTTGACTTAGGGGTACAATTGAGCCCCAAATTTCTGTTGCTAAGTGAGACATTTCTGAGTTTTGCTTCATTTTTTGACTTTCTTTTTGCCATGGTTTGTTAAGTGAATTTCTGCAACTGTTAAGTGAATTTCTGCAGGCAAATCTGGCTTTCCTGTTGACTATACTTATCAGAAGATTGCAAAAGGTGCTCATATGACCTGGGGACACTGCAAACGTCATAAATTATGAGCCAGTTGCTAAGCATCCAAATTTTGATTACCATGAAGATGCTGCCATGGTTGTGTGAAAAATGGACGTCAGTCACTTTTTTCCCAGGGCTGTTGTAACTTTAAATGGTCACTAAATGAATTAAGTCGAAGACTACCTGTATTCCTGGAGACCCCTTGCTGTAACGGTCGTATGTGTGAAAACCGGTCACAAGTCATTTTTTTTTCAGTGCCGTAGTAACTTTGAACAATCACTAAACAACTGGTTGTAAATTGAGGACTACCCATATTGAAGACTGTAATGCGTTTAAAACAACTCTTACATTTATTTTCATAATTTAATTTCTTTGGTTAGTCTTCAGGTTTTAATTCTGAAACTTTCTTGGTGCTTAACATCTTTACAACTCAGCATACAACAGTTAATATTTCTAAACTGTTTATGTTTTGCAACACAACACTTAGACTTTTTCTACGTTTACCATGTCTCATATAAATGTGTTTATATATATATATTTGAATGATAATTGCATTAGACAATTACATAGAACTGTAACTATTTACTGTTAAAATATATTGTACTTTCCCCCCTTTGTTGTTTTTGAGTTCACTTAAAAAAAGGTGTTTTTTTCCTTTTCTTTGATAATCTATGGATTTTTACTTTTGTGGAATTTTTTGATTTCTTTTTCAATGCTATGTTGCTGAGTTGTCAAATTCCAAATGCTAAGCATATATTTCAAAGGGATGCTCTCATCTGAAAATGTTAGTTTTTGAATGCGAAGTCACATTTATACAGTCTACTACTTTCTCCTAAAGTATGTAAGGGGAATTGTTAAGACATGTGTTTTTTAAAAAAGTATTACCCTTATTATATCTCCGACAAAATGCTGTTTAAGCAATCCTGCTCTGTACAGGCATAATAAATTCTAAATATTATCTTTTGTTGTATAACCCATACTTTATGGTCCATTGGCACTGCTGGTATAGAAGTAAAAATGGTCTCAGATTTTTTAGGCATCTCTAATTCCTTTCTCCACTCATTTCATAGCATCTGTATATCAAACCGATTTATTAATAACAAGTATCTATAGAAGCTAGAAGAAAGGGTCAACCTATTCTCCAAAGTTCCTGAAGGCAGAACAAGAAACAATGGATGGAAACTGATCAAGGAGAAATTCAACCTAGAACTAGAGAGAAACTTCCTAACCATTAGAATAATTTATCAGTGGAACGGCTGTGGATACTCTGGAGGGTTTTAAGAAGAGCTTGGACAACCCTTTGTCTGAAATGGTATATAGGGTGTCCTGCTTGAGAAGTGGGTTGGACTAGAAGACCTCCAAGGTCCCTTCCAACTTTGTCATTCTGTTAACAGAGATAATCATGCTCACTATCTGTCCTGTGAATTGACAGAAGAACACACTGTATATTGAGAGTTTTGCAGTGATAATTCAGCGCCAGAAAAATAAACACAGGTGGCGGATGCTTCATTTAACATCTTTATAAACATAAGTAGATTTTTACAAATCAGTTGTAGATTTCTTCAACATGGAGCAAACTCAAACAGAAACATGTTGCAAGTTCAGAGCAGAGTTCCAGTCTTCAGTAAGCAAGTAAGTTAGTTTCATCTTCAATAGACAGACTCACAGCTCCAACATAGCCACAAGAGTTGCAGAACTTAACATAGAGCCATGCCAGGGCTACTTTTAGTTTCAATTTCCAGACAATATTTAATTTTATGTACTATATGGAATGATGGGAAACCTTAAGCCAAAGCTAGTTCCTGGCTTCAGTTTCGGAACAAAATCCCTTCTATACAGAGGTGGTATTCAGCAGGTTCTGACCAGTTCTGGAGAACCGGTAGCAGAAATTTTGAGTAGTTCAGAGAACCGGCCGATATCACCTCTGACTGGCCCCGGCCCCATCTCTTCTCTGCCTTCCATTGAGTTCCAGCTGATCGGCTGGGTCTTCTTTTGTTGCCCTGCACAGGAGAACAGAGCTGGAAAGCAGGTTAGTGGGGTGGGGAGGGAATGGAGATTTTATACTGTCCTTCCCACCAAGCCACACCACGCCTACCAAGCCACACCCACAGAACCTGCAGTAAAATTTTTTGAATTTTGAAATCCCACCACTGCTTCTGTATACCAAAACAGTATTTGTTGAGGGCATCAACTGTTGCTGGTTAATGTTTTAAGAAGGTTATTACTTTCGCTGTAGATTCCATTGTACATTCCACTCTTGAGGCAAGATAGTTTCACTGTCTGTTCTTGGATCCCTGCATAAATGGGATGTGCTGCTAGAGGGCAGTGTTACTCCATCCATATATTTAACGAAGCAGCTATTTTCCTAGACAATCCATTTATTAGGATGTATAATAATCTTCAGCAACGAGCTAAATTAGTCCCAATGCAAAGGAAAAAGGAGAAGTTGACACCATATACTACTGCTTATTTTTCCCACTTGTCCTTATATCTCAGTAGAAATAGAACGGTTGCCCAATTGGCTTAATCAAATGATGCTCTTCACAGTGTTATGACTAAAGATTGCCGACTCAAGGGCTGAAGAAGTGATGAGGACAATGTCCTGAGGACCAATAAAAAGAAGAAGAAAGAAAAAGAAAGGAAAGGAAAGGAAAGGAAGGAAGAAAGGAGGGAAGGAAGGAAGAAAAAAAGAAAGAAAGAAAGAAAGAAAGAAAGAAAGAAAGAAAGAAAGAAA